TGCGCTTGGCCAATTCGGCGCGGTCGGCGGCCTTGTAGTCAAACGAGCACTTGTGCTGGTCCGCAAACCGGTGGTTGGAGCAGTAGACATAGCCGCACCGGCACTCGATGCCCGTGAGGCCCACCTTCTTCTTGCAGTCCCAGCAGCGGCTCTTGTTCTTTTGCACGACAGGCTCGTCCTTCTTGTCTTCGGGTGCGGCGTCTTGAGCGGCGACAGCCGGCGCGGCCACGACCTCGGGCGCCGCGACAGGCGCGGGCGCGGCCACCACTGGCGACGTGTAGTTGGCCGTCTCGAGCTGGCGCGCCGACATGGTCTTCTTCCAGCACACCGAGCACATGTTGCCCGAGGCCGCGCTGCCAAAGAAGCCACAGCCGTTGGCGCAGAGCGTGGTCGACTCGCCTTCCTGCTGCATTGTCTGTCTTGTTGTGAAAAAGAAAAATGTAATTTGGCGGTTGGGAATTCTTTTTTTATCCGACCCTTTTTATTTAAATGTTTTCAACTGTCCACGTCGCAGATCCGCCGAGGATTCAAACGTTTTTTATTTTATTATGCGCCACGAGGCCGTTTCTGCCTCTCCCAGCAGCTCCCTCGCTTTAGCAACCTCTTGTCCATCGAACGTTCGCTCTTCCCCACTTTTACATCAGATACGTTGCTAAACCGAGGGCCTTTCGGCGTGTCTTTGACCACCATGGCGTTTTTCTCACCCCGTGTAGTCTCTCTGAAGTCGGAACACTCGGCCTCGAGGGCCAGCATTACACATCCAAGCGTTCGCTTGCCGGCGCCACGCGGCGATCCCACCGCCTCTCCCAGACGTCCAGCAAAACAGAATCCTTCGCTCGTAATACCGGTGAACCCTTCCTTGCGAGACGGCAAGCCTTTTCGAAGCAAAAATGGAGTGCCGGTACATTGCAGTGGTGGTTGAATGGAGATTACAGCGACGTGTCCGAAACACTGTACTCGTACAGTGTACTGGGATGGACGCAAGCGAATTAATGTTGCAGCCAGGGCCAGGGCCACAGCTCGGGGCCAGAGCTACCGGTACAGTAGTGTGTGTAGTAATAGTACCAGTGGAAGCTACTGCATTGTCCCTGGCGAGACAAGTGGCGCTCAACTTGAACTTGAGTTGATCTGAAAGATCGCAGGCGCGAAACGGGCACGGTACGACAGAAAGGTCACACATCCCGTCCTCCTCCAGCGACGATTGAAGATGGAGGGCGGTCTCAACGATGCGGGCTACGTCGCTGCGTGGAGATACGTGGCCGACATGCCGGGCGCGGCGACTCTCGTCGCGTGCGTCTCCTTTGGGTTGCTCGTGTACCTTGTGACGTCGACGGTCACCAACTTTGTCGGCGCCACGCTACAGGTAGTCGTGGGATGTATTTCCACAGAATATACCAACACACAAGTAGGGGCTCGTCACGGACATCGGGCTGCCCGCCGACGTGGCCGGCGTGACCCTTTTGAGCTGGCACAACGCACTGCCCGACGTCCTGCTTGTCGTCGTGGCCGTCTCGCAGGGCGCGCCGGCGACGGGCCTTGTGCTCGTCCTCGGCAGTTGCCTTCTCACGACCACAGGTAATACTCATCAAGCACTTCTGCCGTTCGAAACACATCTGGTAGTCACGGTGGCGACGGCGAATCTGGCGGCCGAGACGCACCAGACGGTGGACCCAATCCGGTTCTCGCGCGACGTGGGCTTTTACCTCGCCGCGCTGCTGTACGTCGCCAGCCTCGTCCTCTACGGAGCGGTGCGCCTTTCGTATGCGGAGCATTGTATGAGCCACGAGGCGTAGGACACCACGGAGCCAACCCTTTGCGTCGTCCTCGTCGTGCTCGGCCTGAGCTATCTCGTGAGCCTATGCCTCACGGAGATCCTTCGCTGGCGCAAGCCGCACGTGCCACACTGGACACCGCGCACTCGCGCCCGCCGTCGCAAGGCGTCCTACTTGGCGAAAACCTTGAGACCCACCGGGTACATCATCGACTCGAGCCCCGAGTCCGACTGGGAGGAAAACGATCTGTTGCTGCCGTCGCCGCCGGCCGTGCCCAAGTCGTCGCCCATGCTCGTGGTCGAATCGACGTCCGCTGCTGGCGCGTCGCCGCTCTCTGGCCTCGTTGCGCTCGTGTCTCCTCGCGGCGTCGTACGTCTTTGCTTAGCGTCGTTGACATGGTGACAATGGCCGTTGGACATGGTAGGCGCCAAGCCTCGAGAAGCCAAGTGCCAGTGCGGGTTCATTGCGGCTCGCCATGCGTACGAGCGCACAAATTGGCCCCAACGTCCGGCGCTGGGTGGTGCCGTTCGAGCCCAGCGTGGTGTCACCACCGAGCGTTGCATCATACGGCGCTTGCTACTCCGACGCCAGACCAAAGGCCAAGAGCCTCGACACGCGTCTCCATCATCTGTACCGGGGCTGGTACAACTACGTCTGGTGGCCGATCGCGGGGCTTTGCACATTCGCGCGCCGCCTTTTGATACCGATCGTTGCCCCCGACGCGTGGCACCGAGGGACGAACGTTCTGGCCATGTGGAGTGCCACGTCATTGATTGCGTACGCCATGTGGCCGTCGCCGTATGCCTTGCTTCTTGGCCTCTTCTTTGCAGCGTTTGCGGCCGTAACATCGACACCGTACCGCGGCCCGGCCCGCGTCGCTCGCCTGGTACAGTTGGTCGTGGCGTTACCGATCTCTGTCGTGGTGGCCTATGTGCTGCAAGAGGCCCTGCTCACCGTCGTGCCGACAGCGATGCTCGGCCGCGACACGAGCGTCTCGTGGCTGCTCGGACAGGTTCGTTCATTGATTGGCCTTTCTGAAGCGATGTCCATACGGCGATCTAGGTGGTCGTCGGGGCCAATGCGCTCAGCGGTCTCTTTGCCACGGTGGCCGTGGCCCACCGCGGACAGCCCTCGATGGCGCTCAGCAGCTGCTTTGGCGGCCCGACGCTTTCGCTTTTGGCCAGCGCCGGCTATGTCCAATATCAATCATGGTAGCTACCATCAAGTGATCGTCGGATAGATATTTATGACGTCGACCGTAGGAAGCTCGGGGCGCCCGTCGTGTTTGAGGCGCCGTCGCTCGTGACACAGCTGCTGGTTGTGCTGTGCCTGCTTGCCGTGGTCGTCAACTGGGTCACCGTCGCGACCTACCACTTTGCGTACACGAACGGTCTCTGCCACTTTCTCTTGGTCCTTTACGGCGCCTACGTCGGGATCGGCCTCTGCATTATGCTGCAGTACGACCCGTTCCAGGGCCACCCGACCGCGTCCTAAATGGAACCCTTATCGATGTGCATATGTTTATACGAGCCTTCGTTTTATATACTATGAAGAGTAACGAGTGGTCACGGTGCGAGCTCGAGGCGGTCGAGCTTGGCCTTCTCAAAGTGCGAGACCTGGAGCTTTCGGCCACCAAAGAACCGCCCGTGCAAGCCGGCGAGCGCTATCCAGGTTGACAACACGTCGCATCGTATCAACCTAGTATCAAGTACCTTTGGCCGCGTCCGACTCGTTCAAAAACTCGACAAAGATGCGGACAGCTTCGTGGGCCGGCACGCCCGTCGTCACCTCGTACACGATGCACTTGACGACGGGGCCGTACTTGGACTGGCACTCTTCCTTCACCTCGCCCTCGAGGTCGTCGTCGACTTCGCCGGGCCCGACCATGTTCTAGTTTCGGGTTGCCGAATTAGGTATCAACTTGATACAAAACAGCGTGGTTACTTGGAGGAGCAGCACAGTCTTCTTGGGCGCCGCCGCCTTTTGGTCGAAGCGAGAGACACGCTGACCAAAGCGAGAGACGCGGGCTTTTGGTGTCGTTGTCGAAGGCGCTGTCGTCGTTGGCGCGACGGTGGCCGGCGTCATTAGGGGAGGCGGCGACGGTGCTGGTGGTGGCGTCTGTGCTGCCACAAAGCCGAGTCCCCGAGGCGCTTCGGATGCGTCGTCGTACTGCCCTGCCACTGCACGCGGACTCGGACCCACGGCTGCGATCGGTGGCTGATCTTTGGTAGTTTCTTCACTACGATGACGATGAGCTCGCGAGGTATGGGCAGAGACATGCGTACATCTTCTTGGTCATCCACGCCGGTAAGTTCATGCCTCGGCCACGACCACCTAAGTGTGAGATGCGATAGGCTGTCGCAGTGGGCGGTGATTAGCTACCTGGCACAGTTGTGGTGGCAACTGTGGGCACGCGACCAGCCTCGAGGTCCCGCGTCAGCTCTTCACGCTCGCGTGCTCTCTACACCAAGGTGAGCGCTTGAAAAAGTTGCGAGTCGAGTGAAAAGTACCGCGCGATCCAGCCGCTTCTGTCGCTCTTCGAGGTCGCGCTTGACCTTTTCTTGCTTCTTGCGCATCTTGCGATCTTCGACGTACGACATGTAGTCGTTCGGGCGTGCGGGGTCGTACTCGTTGCGGATCTCGCCGATAAACGTGGCGGGCCGCGCTCGGTTGTCATCGTCGTTTTCGTTGTCGATGTCGTTGGCCCGGAAAGGCGCCGATTCGTCGACTAGTGGCGCCGTCGGCTTGCGCGTCACCGACACCGTCGTGAACGATGCAAGACCAAGCGACGTCTTGAGCGTCGGCGTTGATGTTGCTGCGGGCGACGGCGACGGGCGTGCCGGTGTCGAGACCGCGTTGGTCGAGCTCGTCGTGGTGACGGCCGTTGGACGGCTGGCAAACTTGGCCGCAAGCTTCTTCGCAGCCCAGCTCAAGCCTGTCGTACGCATAAGATATCACGCTATGCAGGATGGAGGTGTCGACTTGGCGTGGCGGGTGTGGCTGGCTCGGCTGTTACGGGCTCGGGTGGTGTCGGCTTGGGCGCCTCGACGGGCGCGGCCGGCGCCGGCTTGGCAGGCGTAAAACCAACAGGCTGGAAGCGCGACTTCTTGGCTGGCTTCGGGGCCACGACGCTCGGGGCGAAGCCAAGGCCGATGCCCGAGCCATCGTTGGTCGGCGGCAGATCGCCGTACAGATCATCCATCGTGCTGCAAATGTCGAATGCCACTAAGCCACTTGGCCCCCATTTTGCTTGACCCTCTTCAAATACAATTGTCGAGTATATCGTTTGGACCCCACCCACCCCTTTAAACAGTGCTGATTGGTCCATAAACAGTGTATTTTCGCCAATCAGTGACGTTGGCGCCGTGCAAGAACTCCCAAGCACCACGTTTCTACACCCAAGTGCAATCAAGTACACTAGTCGAGTCACGATGCTACAAGAAGGCTTGAATTCAATGAATATACTATATATTGAGTACGACTCCCAGCTCCAGCATCAACCAGGATACCGAAACGACGCCGAAACGACCGAGACAGGCGGATGACATGACCGAGATCGTGCCCTCGCCGCGCCACATTTCGCTGTCGCGCGTGGTTGTCGAAAAGACCGAAAGCCGACTGCTGGCGCGAAGTACGTACTGGGAGATCTATGAAGCCACGTATGGCGCGACGACGGTCGCCGCGCTCTGCTACCGCCAGTCGAGTCGCCACGACACGCTTTGGGCGGCCACAGTCCACTATATCGACCGCCTTCTCGCCGCCGTACACCCCGTACGTTGTCGTCTTCTACATTATGTACAATGCTGTCGTAGCATGTGCTGCAAGTGATCGGTCTCGTCTACGATATGTCGGCGCATCGACGCCACGCGTTGCCCGCGTGCCTTCTCGTCGAGAAGACGTCCATGAGCCTCTTTGACGCACTGCACACGCACAAAATAGTCTTTAGTGATGCCGACATTGTCACCATCGCGATCCAAGTCGTGCAAGTGATTGCATTCTGCAACGGCGTCGGGCTCCGCCATCTCACGAGCCGAAAAGTGCTGCTGCTCGACCCGTCGCTGCCAAAAATCAAGATTGCGGGCCTCTATCAGCGCGACATTCTTGAAATGGCCAACGCACCGACCAAGGCGACGCCGTATGAGCCACCGGCGACTGCATCGGCCATCAACGCCGACATGTACGCATTTGGCGTCCTTCTCTGGGAACTCTGTACGAGCGAGAAACCAACTGTCGAGCTCTTCCACTGCACAGCCCAGGTTCGCGTCGCTCGGCCGCACTTGGAACTTGCAGAAAGTCTCATTCGCGCATGCACGCACGAGGACGCGGGATCGCGCCCCTTGGCAACCGAGGTCCTCGCCGAGCTTCTCGAATTTCAGACGCGCCGCGCGTCGTTGCCACCCGAGATCGGTCGCCCGGCGCCGCCATCGAGCGTTGTGTTGCATCAAACGCTGCAGCGCCTCGCGGCCGTCGAAAGCCAAGTGCTCGATGAACAGCGCAATTTTGACGTTGTCGTCGGCCAACTCGAGTTTGCCAACGCCGAAATCGGGTCGCTGCAAGATCTTTTGAGCACCAAGACGGAGCGCCTCGGGGCACTCGAGACAGCGCACGCCCAAGCCCTCTTGCGGGTGGCGGACCTCGACGCGTGGGAGAGCACACTGGAAGCGCAGCTCGCCGCCGCCACACAGCGCGTACTGGAGCTGGAACACGAGATGCAGCGGCTCGAGCACCAGACAGCGCATCAAAAGGAGCAAGCGGCCAAGACACGCCTCGATATCGAAAGCGCCATCTTCGAGGTTAGAAAATTGATACATTGAAACAGTACAGGCCACACAAGTCGGTCTTGTAGAAGCAGCAGTTGCGGCAGCTCGTGCAGGCACTCGAAGCCAAAGTGCGCGACGCGGAGACAACAGTAGCTCAAGAAAAAGACGTGAGCGACGAGCTCAATGTGCGTTGGCAGCAAACGATCAAGCACTGCCAGCAAGAACAGCTTCAGCGGGAAAAGCTCGAGCGACAACTGACGCAGCTGCGGCTGGAAAACAAGGTGATCCAAGCTCACTCTCCTGCGAATTGAACAACGAGGCATACCGTAGGACGCCCTCGACCAGCTCCGCGATTGGCATCCCGACACGGGTGTGCTCGCCAAGCAACGCCAAGCTACGATGGACGACCAAGTGCTCGAGCACTTGCGTCGCATTCAGACGCTCACACGCGAGGTCCGTTTCCTTTGTCTCGGTTAGCTCGCATGGATCGTATTGTAGATGGTCGCGCTCAAGCTCGATGCGACGGCACTTCAAGACGAGCTTGTCGCGAGCCGCGCGCGCGAACAGGTGCGATGCCTCTCCATCCTATTCAACGTACCACGATGAAGTACACGCTTAGGCACTCGGTGTCCGCGTCGCTGATCTCCAGTGTGCGGTGGCGCAGGCCGAGGCAGCGACGGCAGCCGCCACCGCGACAAGCAACGACTGGGCCGATCGGTTCGCACGGCAAGCTCACGACCTCGAAGCGAGCCTTGACGCCTACCGAGACCTTCAGCGCGCTCACGCCGAAGTGCAGCACCAGCTCTCGCGGGAGCTGCAGCAGCGCCACGACGAAGGTCAGAAGTGGCATCGTACTATGTTTGTTTCCAAACGAAAAGGGGTGTAGAAATGGCGCGAAAAACACGGCGGTGTCTGGACTTGAACTGCGACGCGCCGCCTTTCTTGATCCAGCCGTCAGGCTATTGCAAAGACCACGACGCCACGCGAGAACGTGAGAAAGCCGAGAAGCAGCGGCTCTTGGAAGAAGCGCAGCGCCAGAAGCCACCACATGACGTCGCCGCCGACGCATTTGCGCTTGGCGGGTTAAAACAGCTCGTGAGCGTCTTGGACACGTTTCAGGAAAGCGCTGCGGTCGTGGCTGCGGTTCTCAAGAAGCTGCACGTGCTCTGCGAAGCCCACGGTACAAGCGTTGCTTTCGATTGTCACCTATCGACATTTGACGGTGCACATAGCCGTCCACAAGAACGAGCTTGGCGATTTGTGTGGGTTCCCGGCGCTTGTCCGCATTGCGCAAAATCAGAGCACGCTCGAGGCGACGCAGATTGCACTCGCTCGATTGTTTGGCGTCGCAGCTTTCAACCACGACGTCAACCGCATTCGACTCGTGAGCGAAGGCGCGCTGGACTCGCTACTGCTGGCCATGGCAGGTTTCCCGCACAGCCTATCGCTCCAGCAAAGCAGCTGCACGACGCTGACCAACCTGGCGCACAACTGCGGTAGCGCGTCTCTTTGTCTTAGAATGACCGCCGACGCAGCAATGCCTAGAGGGGAACCGCCGCAAGATCCTCGACAAGGGCGGTCTCGAGCGCATTCTCGACGCCATGCAAGCGTTTCCTAAAGAAGCATCGCTGCAGGAAAGTGCGTGCTGGGCCCTCATCTCCCTCGCGGGCTCCGGTATGTACCATGGTTCTGTTCGTATCGATCTACGTGATGCATAGATTTTATGTGCGAACACATTGCCTCGCGCGGCGGCGTCGGCGCGATTCTGGCGGCGATGCTCAATTGCCCGAGCATCGCGTCCGTGCAGTATTACGGCGTGTGGGCGCTGCTGAACCTCGTCTCGGGCGTCGAAACGCTGCAAGACTTTGCGATCCAAGAAGGTTTATCGGTTTTTGTGTAGTACAATATCGTCATGTGTGCAAAATAGGGGCCATCGAGGTGTGTGAAGCCGCCATGGCATGCTTTACCGAGCACGCTGGTATCCAAGACAAGGCGCAGTGCGTCCTGGACATGCTCATCGACAATCAAGAGCTGCGCGCTACCGATGCCGTGCTGCCCGATAAATAAAACCATTGCAGGATTCTGTCGTGTAGCGTTGTCCAGTGTGCACACGTTGTCTTGTTGCCATTGACAGAGACGGTCAATGTGACGCCACTTTTCTTGAGAGACGGCACATTCCCCTTCTCTGCATACAAACATCAAGTATAACATCCCGGGATTGGACGAAAAAAGTGGGATCCGCCGTCCGACGCCGCGTGCCCATTGCAAAATCACGCAGTGCCTAGGGATGCTGCACATCAGCACGTCTCTCCATCACTAGCGACTTGTCGTGGTCCGTTGAAAATCATTCCAGCATTTTCCAACATTTCTTACATTTTGACCATGCACCGCTACAGCAGGCGTCAGCCTTGTCGATCCGAAATCGAAACTTTTGCAACCTTCTCCAATCGCTGTGATATTTTCAGGGACGCTTTCTCTAGCTCGAGAGAGGATGTATGCCGACGATCGTGGGTATCAAAGGCCTGCAAGCATTAGTTTTGAAAATCGCCAACAATTGCTGTTTTATTCCAACATAATTCATCTAGATATTCAACGCGAGTCAATACATGGCGCTTTGAGCCTTCATAATTCTAGACAGACGTATCACAGCGATTTGAGAAGGTTGCAAAAGTTTGGATTTGCATCCCTGGACACTGGGTGATTTTGCAATGAATTGATTTGAATAAAATTGCATTTTCGGTACCACGCTCTATGCGCGGAACCACGACGCTGGGATCATTTCAGTGGCCAAGGACACGTCTGTCTAGAATTACATGAAGGCAGCGATGCGCAACGCATCCCCAATCCTACCTTTACGCCCCTTTACATAGCAGCACAGCGCCAGCCAAGCAGTAAAGAATATCTACTGGTTGGCTGGCGCTGTACGGATGTCTAGGGGCGTTGGGAGGGTCATAAGGCCAGAGGGTCAAAAGACATCAGTGCCGTCGATGGTTCTCTAGTAGAGAATCATCGATGGCACTGATGTTTTTTTACCCTCCCAGACAGGGGGATTTGGACCGATTGGTTTTGCATTAAAAAATCAACGGCATCATGCAGTCCAGGACTGCAGCAAGCTAGGGGCCAACCTCCACGAGATCATCGGCGGTCGTGGACAATGTGTCCGACTTCCACATGTTCAAGAACCTTCAGAGCCTCCAGGCACTGTGCGACGCGGATGGTGCCTG